AAGAAAAGTTTTAAGAATCAACTTCAAACAGTCACAAACAATGCTGATTTAATTCAATCATGATCAGCTATTAAGTAACAAACATTTTACGTCACACTGACAACCCCCTTGGTTTTATTTGGAGACATGCAGTGGTCAAACTCAGCTGGTGTATAATTACAAGCCCTCAAAATAATCTTTAATGACAGCCAGCTTTAGCCTGTACTGTAATGATTTATCATGCAATGACATACTGGCTACTTAACATACTTAAATAGATTTAATTCAATCATGATCAGCTATTAAGTAACAAACATTTTACATCACACTGACAACCCCCTTGGTTTTATTTGGAGACATGCAGTGGTCAAACTCAGCTGGTGTATAATTACAAGCCCTCAAAATAATCTTTAATGACAGCCAGCATCAAGAGCAAGCACACAAAAAAAACAGCCTGCAAACCTATAAAATAACCTGCAGAAAAAAATAAGTAAAACAAAATGTTTAAATCTGACAAACATTTTTGCCTTTTTAAAAAAAATAAAAATAATAATAATAAATACATTTTATGCATTCAGACCAAAAAAAAGTTCAACAGAAAGTAATGTGGTTTTATGATTTAATCCACACACCAGTGTGTCTAAAACACACAACCTGTCCTGAGGACACAGTGTGCATCTTGAGCAATAATAACCTATCCATGGATCCAGTCCATTTTTAGCACAGTGCTTTGCAAATCACAAGACCCTAGTAAAATGAAATGCACTGGATGTGACTGATGTCAGTGGTGTAGGCCAATGTTGACAAAGCAGTGGTATAAACATTACAAACGACACAAGATAAACCCATGACATACAAGGGTCATTCCATGAAACAACTGTATAATCTAAAAGGCGATTTTTTAAAAAGACTTTAAAACATTTGATCACAAACAATGGGTTTAAGTGTTAATAAATTACAGTGTATCATCTCAACCTGAATGTAAAAAATACAACATTGATGTTTTGTATGAAGTAACAGGGGTGACGGCATCAGAGTTGCCAGTTTTACAGTTCATTTAGCCATTACTAGGCTTGAGCTCAAGGTCATGACGCTACAAGCCATTTATCGGAAAGCAAGTTTAATGGTGAAATTTCTACAAAAATAATGTTTTCGAATAATCAGTTGCCGATTGTACAAAATCATGGTAAAAGAACATGACAAACATGGCAAATCATACAAAGTGATTTTTATCAATTTATCTTATGTTTGGTTTGGTTTGTCAGGAGACACTAACCTGTCCTTGAAATTTTCACATTTATCCTGAATGGAAAACATTACTATTCCATTGTATTATTATTAATGGAATTCACACCATCTTAACATCATGGTGAAACTTTTCTATTTTTGCTTCTTTTATTCGTATTTATAACATTTGCATTTTTGCTTTTAGGCCTACATCCAGAAAAAAATATTATTTACAGGGCTAGGGACAGACTAACTAAAATGCATTTGCATTAAGAAAAAAGACGAAAAAAGCATTGAAGAAGAAAGAAAGTTACTGGATTTGTGATGATGCATTTAGAAAAATGCCTATAATAAAACACAGTAAACGCTGCTTTTAGCTATTCCTCGTTAAAGTCATTGTTTACACATATGTTTACGAGGAAACATGAACACCAACCAGCATGACATATGCACGTGTCAACAACAGCAGTCATGATGTAATGACAGTGACTTCCAACATCGTACGTGTCTTTCTGCCACACTCTGTGCCCTCACACTTTTTAAAAACATAAGGCAACCAGAAATAAAAAATTTTTTTTTGGAGAGAGTCCTCGTTCTGTTCAACTCTACGACCCCACAAACCTGTTAAGCAGGTTTTAACTAAGGGGCTTTGCCCAATTATTGTGGTTTAAACGAGAAGAAGTCTAAGCATCTTACCTCTCGCCGCCTCCGTCCTGAAAATGACGCGAGGTCGGTGAACTGAGCTGAGCTGAGAAGAGCGCGAGCATCGACAGTCCCGTTACTGTGTAACATTTGAAAGCCCTTTAACTGCCCAGTACAGCTGCGTCATCAGCTGCGCTGATAAGAAGAGCGCTACGTACCTCATGCGTCACTACTTACGCCAGAAGAGCAACATGGGACCTGTAGTTCTTTATTGACTCAACCGTATCAGATAAAGGAGATAAATACTGTACACAACACATTATATCCGGTTGATTTAAGAGAGATTGTTAAGCGCGTAATTAAAGTTTTGTAAGTAATTATGATTAGAGCAAAACAGCGTATTTTATGCAAAATAAATTACTTTCCCTAATATAACAATGCAAGGTCGCAAGTGCAATGTAAGCGCGCCATCCTGTGTCACAACTATGCAACAACAAGTTAATACCAAGGTATTATATGTGTATTTTGACCTGTCGTAGCTGGTTTAAGCTGGTTCTATATATAATACACACCAAATATCTAAAAAAATATATATTTTTTTTAATTAAATTTTTTAAAGGTGTTTTAAAATGAACTTTTAAAATGCTTCAAATGGCTTAGCACCTCACACTATAGCCTACAATTTAAAAAATCTAGTTAAATAAGCTAATAGACTTGACAGAGGCCAGGTCACATCGACAAGAAAAACAGGAAAGGAAAGGAAAGCACATTAAATTGAAAGGATTTCAGTGAAATCTGATTTCTACTGTATCTTAAATCAAAATAAATCACAATCACAATGTATCCTGAAATAATGTCATGACTAATGAAGCCTTTTTTTAGTCATTCCATGCTAGTTTAGGATGAACGTATTGCTTATTTTAAGTTATATACAACATCTTCATCATCTTCATCATCACAAAGATGATTACACTGTCCTACTTGTAGTCACCCTAGCAGCCTTCAGGGTAGCCTAGAGCTTTAAACAGTCAGAATCATGTGACACTTTTAAAAGTAGAAATATTATAATTTTCTTACCTGTAGAGAAAATGTCAAGGTTTAAAAACCCAATATCAGCATTTAGCCTACAGTCTTTACAGCTATAGCATTGCTCTGGCACATAAAACAAGAAAAAGCCTTTTTTTAGTCATTCCATGCTAGTTTAGGATGAACGTATTGCTTATTTTAAGTTATATACAACATCTTCATCATCTTCATCATCACAAAGATGATTACACTTGTAGTCACCCTAGCAGCCTTCAGGGTAGCCTAGAGCTTTAAACAGTCAGAATCATGTGACACTTTTAAAAGTAGAAATATTATAATTTTCTTACCTGTAGAGAAAATGTCAAGGTATAAAACCCAATATCAGCATTTAGCCTACAGTCTTTATAGCTATAGCATTGCTCTGGCACATAAAACAAGAAAACAGAAATAAAACAGTGGTGCACTGAAAGTCTTCGGTGACAAATGACACGTCAGTCAGTCACTCACACAGACTGCACATCCTGGAGTTTTGACATGCTTTTTAATGGTTAGCTGTACAAGCCAATTGAATTTATTGCACAGAAATATGGCACTGCAATACTGATTATGTATTGTGTAATCATTGTTCAGGGAGGATGCCATGCCATAAACCTTGCTCTGTCTCCTTTCAACTCCTAAAATACATTATTTGTACATGCATTTCGATTAGCAGAACTGTGACATCACTCATTAAAAAAAGAGGTTTAAAAAAAATTTGAGTGTTCCTCAGTGAACAGTTTTTAAAAGAATCATTTGTTCTAAGTGTAAATAACATTTTAATATTCTGAACCGTTTGTCGCTATAAAAATGCTTTTATGCAATGCAAAGGTTATATGGATGTTAAAGGTTCTTCATGGAACCACAGATTTCAGAACAAAGTGCCGCGCAGTGCGCGCAGCCTGGAGACAGATCTCGGCTTGCTCGCAATTGCAAGGGTAAATAATAAATGATGTTTGAATAAGTACAGCGTTTTATTCACTAAAACACTATGTTTATAAAGGCTAAAGTTTTTTGTGTGTTTGAAGAGCGGAGAATAGCTTTTGCCGTCTAGTTGTAACCAATGGGCTACTTTTGTAGGCTACGTTTTAAATATCATGTGCATAAAGCGCTTCATCGTCTATCATGAGATTTTGGCCAAGTGTATTAAACGGCATGAAAAACTAAGCGCCCATATAGCTACAATAAATGTTATAACCTGTACGTTTATGAAAGCGTATAATGCGATGCTCTTGCTGCCTCAGATGCGGCCATTGTAATGACAGACAAAACACAGATCTCCGTCATTCGCTGGTCAAAAACCTTGTTAACTCCATTTGAGCTTGATTTTCATAAAATGTTAAGTGCAAGTGTCTGATAAAGCCACATACCAACTCTGACGACGCAGTGTTTAATTATTATTATATATATACAAAAAAGCTTTTTCCTTTTCTATGTTTTATATTTCAGTGCTTAGTAATGTGCACTAAGCTTTGTTTGTTGGATGTTTGCTTTAAGTGATAGGCCAGGTAAGTGAAATTATATTATCTTGCTGTATGTGTGTCGTTTTCTTTAAGTTTTCTGACTAAAAGCAAACAAAAAGCCATTTTAAAGTGGTTAAATAATGATAATAATAATCGGCAGGGATCCCCAGACCAATACAATTAGTGTGCCTCCTCTATTTTAAAACCCACGAGCCACCACTGTTAATAAGTACACAAATGTCTTCAATAAGACAGACTGGAAACCATAATTAGGGTTTTACAAATATTTAACCAATGAAAAGCATTCAAAAGAGCTTGTCACTAAACTTTTTAACGCTATGGATCCTCAAACTGTCAGCAAAACTGCTTAACGTCACCCTGCTTCCATTCAACAGACCAATACAATTAGTGTGCCTCCTCTATTTTAAAACCCACGAGCCGCCACTGTGGTTTTGAGAAACGCCGCCACTGTTAGGGGTCTCCAGGAGGGGTCAGCACCTCCATATAAATTTAATATGAGGATAACTAGTTCATCATGTGTATACAGTGAACATATGTTTATAGAATACTACAGAGTTGTATGTTTTGCTAGGTCGCACCTTACAAAATATTCAAAGGCTCTCACAGGTGACTCAGATAGAGGAAAAGAAGAAAGGAAACGCCCACTTGTGCTCCTGGCGCACATGCGAGGGGTGTTCGGCTTTCTCCGAGCTCATTGACTGCTAAATCAGGAAATGCCTTTTAAGACAACAAGCCCAGATTCAATGTGATCGATGCGTTCTTTTGATTTTAGTCGCTCGCGGGTGTTTAATAATCATCGAGAGACTTGACGAGTCGTTTTAGAAAGAGCCGAGCGAATGATTTGATTCTGCAGAATGAACATCAAGACAGATAAAGTTAGGTGAACGCTGAAGGTTTGTAAGTGAGAGACATCACACACCTTTGATCATGCCAAGAACGAAAAGCGACGAGTTCTCTTTCGTCAGTCCAGCTGTGAAATATTTACTTTTCTTCTTCAACATGATATTTTGGGTAAGTGTTGCTCATTATATTATTTTATTATATTATAAATTTAATAAACATTAAAACATATATATATATATTCTTTTCAAATATAACTTAATATATAATTTATATATATATAAATAAATAAATATATATATATACATATATAAACTTGATATATTAGACACAAATGATAAATAATAATTTTTAACACTTTTTAAATATGCACACTATATATTCTATTACATTATCCACAGAAAATATAAATGATTTGTATACTCTTGAGTTTTTTATATATAAGAACAAATAAATTAAATGCTGTTTATGTAGAGTTGTCTCCTCTTCACATGATGTAGTTTAATGATTAACGTTTTACCAAATGACTTTTGAAACTCCTACTTTTTAATGCAAAACTACGAAGCAAGCTTTGCATATATACAAACAGAATTAATGTACTTAGTTGTCTTCCAGACTGAATGATGGTCAAATGAGTCTAACAGTGTTTTAAAAGCAACTTGACCTGTATTCATAAAGACTGACATGCTTTCGTGGAGTTTAGTATGAACAAACACTGAAAACATCACCCATGGGCATGTCTCAACACCAATGTGTATTACTGCACCACCGGCTAGATTCTCAGAATACCTCGAAAAACACAGAACAGTTCGTGACACACAGTACAGGAGCCTAACCTGTTTGATCTTGACTTTATATACTGAGAAACACTTGGGGAACTTCCTGCATTTTACCACAATAAATTGGGCCTGCTGTGTGATAAGATCTCGCTAGAATAATAATGAGTTCATATTAGACCTCATCAACAAAACCCTCTTTTGTGAAGTTCTTGATACTGCCAGTTTACGTTCCCAAACTTTTTAAAACTTGTGGCTGTTGCTAAGCAGCGGGTCTCATTGATTCATATGCTGATAGAGCGATGCAGGGTGTTTGGATGAGTGGGGGCCCCATGCTTTCTTTTATTTGTTGCCCTGTAGCATTTACTGAATAATAGACCTAAATGAATAACGCCTCTTCAGAGGGAGAATCAGACACCCAAAATATTTAAAACAGGCTTTGATACTTCAGATATTTTGCAGAAAGGCATCAAAATTACTATGAACTTTCTAACAATTCATATGGACACCATGAGTTGATTTAAGTTAAGGTCTGTTGATTAGAGTGCATTACATGCTTGCTGGTGCAAATATGCACATGCAAATACCTAAGGAGATTTCATGCTGAAAGCCTCAAGAACAACTTACTATAGTTTTAACTATAATGCAGTGTAATACTGAGCATTTGACTACTGGGTCTCAATGCACTGTACAAAAAGGCACCAAATCATCTTTTTTCAGTGTGTTGATGCACATCTGCACTCCTTTTAGTGGTACAAAGCTATATAGAACAGCAATTCACCTTTGTGAAACTGAAAAGTAATGCAGTATTGTAGTCGTTTGAATACAGGAAATGTTCAAACATATGCAAACTTGCAACTTAGATCAGCGCACAGGAGAGATTGTTTCCTTCCTCTTATAGTGTATAGGACAGTTTGGTTTCAGAAATTATTAACGATGAAAAAAAAAACGATGTGGAGTTTTGTAGTAATCCGATAGCTGTGTCAGTGAAAGGGGGCTACATTATGTCAGACAAACTGGGACTTTTTGTTGTGTGCGAAACAGAAAGTGAATGAACCTTAAAGCTCCGCTTCTTTTTATAGAGTTCTTCTTATAGAGTTTATATTCTTCTCATGAACTTTCACAAATACTGATGCTGTATATAGTGTAAGTACATACAAACTTGGCCTTGGTCAGGTTTTTTCACAATACAGTTTGAGGTGAGCAACAGGCCCCTCACTAAACAGTGACCTTAAACTTGACAATAAGAGTATTTACTTTACTTATTCAAGCCATTTACACACTCAAGTCCTTTTTTATTTAGGAAAACTGATGAATACGAATTTGTTCCTGCCACACCCTGAAGAGGAATGACAATGGCATTAGAATCATCCTGTGTTTTTGTACAACATCTGTTTTAACATAAAGACTCACAGCTTATCTTTGTGTTATAGGTAATCGCACTGATCCTTATATCTATTGGAGTTTATTCCAGGATAGTTAAACACGGTAAGTGTGTACCACTGGACAGCAGAACAGGGTTTATATCCTCAGATATCTGTATTTGTGTAGCTTTCTTCCTAGGCGTTGAAGCTACTTTATATGGTGATGCTGCTAACATATGCAGTTTTTCCACAACAAAGCGTAAAAGCGGCAAGTAAGCTACAGAAAATGAGCTTATAAATGTTATATCACAGACTAACTTCGTTTAATGAATATAAAAGCAAAGATTTTGTAGCTTGCTTCAAGTTGTAGCCATATCATGAAAGATATTCACAAATAAAGGTTCAGGAAGTCTGATATGGCAGTCACCTGGGACTCATACTGACACCTAGTGGTTGTAAAGGAGCATTGTGTAAAAGCAGTAGTTTTCAGTAACCAGTGCTTTTGTAGAAAGTCGGCCATTAATAATTTAATCCACATTAATATAGGGGTTACAGAGATAAAGTGAATCTTTTATAGATCAAATTGTGTATATACTGTGTTATAGATAACGTTTATCTATCCATAGTGCCACAAAAACTGTCCATCTATCTGATATGTCTCTGTTTTACTCTACAGAGACAGCGCTGGCCTGTCTGACGGTGGATCCTGCTCTGTTATTGATGATAGTGGGCATTCTCATGTTCTTCATCACGTTCTGCGGCTGTGTGGGTTCTCTGAGGGAGAACATATGCTTACTGCAGACAGTAAGTCAGTAATAAAGCCAGCTGCCTGATCAGAATTGTTACGTCAGGACAGGACCGTTCCAGATTATATGTATAATTTGTGTTTTTGAATCCGCAAAGTATCTAGAATGTGCCCGATATAACAGTCTTGGTACAATTTTAGTCAGGACTGAAATAGCTCTTAGTGGAGATAAAACTACATACAGCTTCAAACAAGGTGCATTTTACATAGAAAACGTGAAGTACAAAGCAAATCCTAATAGCAACCTTTAATTCCCTTGCAGTTCTGCATCGTCTTGACTATCATCTTTCTGCTGCAGCTAGTGGCTGGTGTTCTGGGTTTTGTCTTCTCAGACAAGGTAAAAATCATCATGAATCAGATTAGTATGCTAATGCCAATGCTACAAGCCAGATTATATCCATTTTGTAGAGCTAATGTGAACTTGGGTTGTAATTACTCAAGTAGCCAACGCTAATTTAATTCTTTAATTTGTTTGATTTACCTTTAATTAGTCAGATTACAGTATAGTATTTTAGTGCACTATTAAATCCCCCCGTCTTTGTGAAGGCTTTGTATAGACAGGCATAAGTACACTATTTAAAGGAGTCTGAACATGCTATAACAAAACCCACTGTCACAAACTTTCTGGATTTCTAGTTCACACAGTGCGCCCTCTACTGTCTGTCACCTGACTATTCTAATAATCCAACATTTTCAATTAAATTGATCCTCTACAGGCACCTGGCAAAGTAACAGAAATGGTTGACAGCGCCATCAAGCATTACAGGGATGATATAGATCTTCAGAACCTCATTGACTATGGGCAAAAACAGGTCAGGGTTATGTATACATACATGTACAATACATCATAATAGTCTGTAGTAGTTGATAATTATGTTTTTGCTTTATGATATGATCAGTTTAACTGCTGTGGGGGGATCTCTTACTTGGACTGGTCTCAGAACATATACTTCAATTGTTCAAAAGAGAACCCAAGCAGAGAGCGCTGCTCTGTGCCCTTCTCCTGCTGCCTGATCTCCAAAGAGGAGGTGAGAAAAGGCTCCAAAAAGAATGTTTGCACTTTGAATTACAATTTTTATTATGTATGTAATATATTTAACTATATGAAAATGTAATTTAATCATTAAGTAAATAAATAAATTAAATATTATATTTTATTATAATGTTATAAATTAATTATTAATATATTAAATCTAATTAATAATGCTGTAATATATTATACATATATTATTAATGTATTAAATGTCCCTTCCCCTAATACCACTTTGCCTTTTTTCGGTTTTGTCAGACTGTTATAAATACCATGTGTGGTCATGGGGTGCAGCAGCTGGAATATCTCGCAGCTGGTGCCTTCATTAACACCAATGGCTGCATTGATAAAGTGGTGAACTGGGTCCACAGTAACCTGTTTCTGTTGGGAGGCATCGCACTGGGCCTGGCCATCCCACAGGTACCTCCTGACATGGAATAAGCAGGCAATCTGCTTAAAATGATAAATTACACAAATTATCTAAATAATATAAAAGGTCATCGTGGGTCACCTTAGATTTCGTCCGATCTTAAACTGGCTACTTTAAGCATCTAAATTTAGATTTAGTTTGAACTGACAGCTTGATCTCTTCTCTTTTTCAGTTGGTTGGGATCCTTCTCTCTCAGATCCTTATTAATCAAATCCAGGATCAGATTAAACTACAGAATTACAACAAACAACATCGCTCAGACCCCTGGAGCTGAAACTCAAAATGGTTTTATAGAAAGCTTGGAAACTCGTTGCTGCCTGAAGTGACTGACATGGACTGGATTCTGAATAAGGAGAACTGGGCTTAAGAACAGGCAACCAAGACACATTTTCATATGTAAGGTCATTTGTATGATGTTTTAGAAACCAGAATATTTGTAGGAATAGTGTAAGACAAACTGAAGATCAAGAGGTCAATAAAACTATTTTGGGATATTTTATGAGCACAAAATGTTTTTTTAAGGAGTGTGATCTTAGTAAAGGATGGTTCAAACTAGTTTAATGTGATATTTATTGATTTCCAGTATGGACATTTTTAAAAACAAACTTTGTGTTGGAAGATATTATAAACATCTGAGATTAAATAGAAATGAAAATATTTTTATTCACCATGTATTTTGCCTTAAAAATTCACTTTAACATGTCTAAACAGTCATATGTGCTTCTTAATTTCCAGATTATTTCAGCTCATATTATTTTTTAAGTATTATTTCAAAGAATATATTTTTAATAAGCACAAAACATTTAAAGAGCATTGGTTTTATTACAACATAACTCACTCCATGGCATTTGGCTGTATTCTTTCTGGAATGACTCCCCCATCAACAAAATCTGGCCATAAAAAATCTGCTTATAGTCTGTGCTTGAGTTGTGCCAGAGATTCAAGTGTTTACTTCGCTGTTTATACTCAGACAGTGGTGAGGGTCCTCCTTCCGTTTGGACAATATCATGTTCATTAAGTGGATCTCAATGGATACAAATAAAAATTAATTTTACTGTTTCTGTTGTGTTTTATTCATCCCTTTTTATTAAAAAGGTAAATATAAATAAAAATATTTTAAAAATATAAATATTTATCATTCTCATTATTATTAATATTAATGAATGTTTATCTTTTATTTGAACCCAAAAAATATATTTTTTATAATTAATAATTTTTTATATTTTATTTTTACAGAAGGAAACTAGTTTTCTGTTTTACTATTATTGTTATTACTAAAAAATACATGTCACATATTATAACAGAAGGAAACTTTTTAGTTTTTGTTATTATTATGGCATTATAGAGATGCAAATACACAAACAAACAATTTTCCCCATTTCATATTCAATACAATATCTCCATTTTCAAATAATTCACCTGCAGGACATATTCCAAGGCTGTAATCTGACAACTGAGTTTTACTGAGTTGCACATGGATGCTCAGGTTTTTTTATTGGTGGTAAGTTTAAGTCTAACATGCGTTACAAAGATGCATTCATAGACATGGGAGCAAATGCATACAAGGTGTAGTGAAAACAAGAGTGCAATGTACTGTGAGCAGCCGAGTGCTGGTAACTCATGAAGCCTTTATCCAAAACTCATTTGGAAATCCAAACACAGAGTGTGGCAGACACCTTTAGTTTGTAAATGTTATTAAAAAGCCAGTATGGCCCAAAAAAAAAGGAAAAAGAAAATGTATGTAGAATTTATTTATTAACACCACAGCAGATGTATTTTATGTCAATGTATAGGAAAGCAATAGACTGTGTGTGTGTGTGTGTGTAGAGAGATTGAGGGAGGTAGACGTTTTAGGCCAGGCTCTCCCATTTAGAGCTTGAGTGTGTTTGTGTGTGGTCCCTGGTCTGTGCCTTTCTCTGACTCATTCTACAGTGGCCATGTTAGACGGGCTTTTTAAGAAGGCCCTGTGTTAATCCTCAGCATAGTTTACCAACCACATCGACACCAACAAGTGCTGCTGTCTAAATCTGATATACCAAACTACTCAAAGTTTATTCCATAAACGATTAAATGAGATAAACTCAGTCATGAATCACAATCACTGTAAACACAATGCAAAGTGTGCTAAAGGTACTTCACCAAAATAAAAGTGAGTCTACACCGCAAGGTTTCATTCAGATTGACACTGTGAAAATGTTGAAAGTACTTTTTGTATTACTGTGCATTATTTTTAATATTGCATGTTAGTTTATATTGTGTATCCCGTAGATTGCATTCTTCATCACACGACTGTAGAGATTTTTTTTTTTTACCATCATTGCATCTGTGTATACAATGAATTGCCAACATCCTGTTCCTCTCCTCAAGTGCGGGGCCCGGTGCGGCCGCACCAACTGAACCCCCCTAAGGACGGCCCTGCTTATGAGATAAGTCATATTTAGATAAAAAGTTGAAATTATGACATAAGTGTAATCAAATAATTGTGATATAAAACATTAAAAACATAATGACTATATGGCATTAATATGGTTTAAGTATGACCTTTTTATTATGTTGCAGAAAAGGCAAAATGCCCAAAAATATTAAAAAGTGAAAGCTATATAGTAAATGATTTTTTTAAATTAGAAAATTATTCTCATGTAGAAGAAATAAAGGCAAATATCAAAATGCAGAGGTTAAATACGATAAGATAAGACATGAGGGCAGGCATGAGTGAAGCATGTAAATATTATGTAGGCTGGCATGGATTGCTTTTCCCCAGCATGAGGGGGATGGGAGCAGAAGTTTTTGTTATTTGTGTGTGTGTGTTTGTGTGTGCACCCCTCCTTGTGCATACCAGAGTCTGGGAAAAAAACGGATTCTTGTGAAAGTGAAAGACATTTTAGGACCACTATATCTCAGGTCTCCGTCCGATGAGCAGATGAGTTTTGACAAAATTTCTCGCACTCTGGTTTTGCTGTAAACTGGGGGACGCGCTACTCGGCTCAAGGGGGACGGAGCGCTCAGCCCCGGGATCAAGTTACAGTCCCAGTCCCAGACTTTTCAAGGCAAATTTTTTTTCCTCCATCACAAACGTGGGGGATGGTGAACGCTATTTGGCCCGGGATCAAGTTACAGTCCCAGTCCCAGACTTTTCAAGGCAAAATTTTTTTCCTCCATCACAAACGTGGGGGATGGTGAACGCTATTTGGTTTCTTCAAACTTTTTAAAGTAACGAAAAACTGAGCTGGGGTAAGCTTTGTGCTGGAATTTAAAACGCAACATTTGTTTACAACTTTTACGCACCGCATTTGTACGATGCCGAGATTTTCAATAGTATGTGAGAGAGAAAGGAGGCATAAAAAACTTTGGAATCGGAAGAAAAGACATTTCTTTTAAAGTCTAAAATGTCGAATCAGGGCTCTAGGAAATATCCACACTTTGACTTGGTTTGAAACCTTCAAGCGCATCGCGCACGAGTGGAGATCGACAGTTTATTTGGAAACATTTGATGAAACATCGCTACATTGTTGGGTCTCCAAGATGTCCTCCAAGCGCCTCTGCTCCATTGTTGGAGGCGTTTGGATGCTTTGGATCTGGGCAGCAACCTCTATAATCACTCAGGCGGTTATCTTGCACCCAAATGAAACGGTATTCAACGACTTTTGCAAGAAATCGACAGCTTGTGAAGTACTAAAATACAATACGTGCCTTGGTTCACCTTTGCCGTACACGCACACATCTCTGATTCTGGCTGAAGACTCAGAAACTCAAGAGGAAGCCTTGGAGAAATTGGCCATGTGGTCTGGTAAGTTACTATTTTATTATGTAATACAAAATTATTATTATTATTATTGTATGTTCCCCTTTAGAGACAATTAAATTATTTTAGTTACTGTAAGCCTGAATAAAATCATTTTAATTATTAACGTTTTTTGATTGTATGTCAGTTTTGTATTGTTGAATATTGCTGAATACATTATGTTTCCAATGCAATTCACATGCAAATTGGTTGGAGTAAAATAAATGTTTTGCAGAACATAAAAAATATTAACTTTTTGCCCTAATGATTTTGGCGTTAATATTAATCAAAGTTAATTATTATAAATTATTATATGACAAAATACAGTTTTACATGACTTTTGTGTGTTATTAATGCCATCATGTTCTTAATTTTCACAACAGCCCCATAATTAGCAATTCTCCTCCTTTCTCTCACATTCACACCTTGTCCCAAAGTTTCTTGTATTGTTCCTGAAAGTCCATTGCCCATGGGCCGTTTCCTATAAAAATGAAAAAGAAAACTACTGTACCAAGTCTTTAAATAGCCACTGGATGTAGTTGAACTTTATAATCTGATTTAATTCTGTAAATGTTATTTTGACAAACCATCAGGACATTAACCAGACAGCCAGTGAGAATTAGACACTATTTTCTCAGATAATTAAAGGGGTCATATGATGCGATTTCAATTTTTCCTTTCTCTTTGAAGTGTTACAAGCTCTTGGTGCATAAAGAAGATCTGTAAAGTTGCAAAGACTAAAGTCTCAAATCCAAAGAGATATTCTTTATAAAAGTTAAGAGTCAACCACGCCTGCCTAAAACGGCTCGTTCTAACACGCCCCCACATACCTACGTCACGATGTGGGAAGATTTGCATAACACAGCCCAAATGTTGACGCGTTTCAGAAAGGCGGGGCATAGAGGAGAAACAATAATGTACAGTATGTGGAAAATAATGTGTTTTTTCAACCTTAAACTGCATAAACACATTTCATTACACCAAATACACAAAATAATGTTATTTTTAGCAACATCATATGACCCCTTTAATGTCTAATCTCCCAATCTCTTGCGCTCAGGGTTGAGAAATGCTCCTCGCTGTTGGGCCATCATTCAGCCGTTGCTGTGTGCTGTTTACATGCCAAAATGCGAGAATGGAAAGGTCGAACTGCCCAGCCAGCACCTGTGCCAAGCTACACGCAAACCTTGCAGTATTGTGGAGAGGGAGAGGGGCTGGCCCAACTTCCTCAAGTGTGAAAACAAGGAGCAGTTCCCTAAGGGTTGCCAGGTAAGTCATCCATTAGCATACGCCCAAAAAGTTTGATCTGGATTGCACATGATGTGACCAAATTGACTTTCAGAATGAGGTCCAGAAGATCAAATTCAACACTTCAGGACAGTGTGAGGCTCCCTTGGTCAAAACTGACATCCAGGCAAGTTGGTACAAGGACGTGGAAGGTTGTGGGATCCAGTGCAACAATCCCCTGTTCACGGAAGATGAGCACTCGGACATGCATAACTACATTGCCATCTTCGGCTCCATCACTCTCCTATGTACATTCTTTACGCTGGTAGGTGAACCGGCGAAGACGGGATTTCATAGTCTTGGGCTGGCTGACTTCCTGGTGTGCAGTATTTCTGACAGAAAGTAGTTCAAGTTTGGGCTGCAATCTTTAATTATTGATGTTATTCCTGCTTACAATTTCCCACAGGCCACATTTCTCGCCGACTGGAAGAATTCCAACCGTTACCCCGCTGTGATCCTCTTTTACGTCAATGTATGTTTCTTTATCGGAAGTATTGGATGGCTCGCTCAGTTCATGGATGGAGCCCGCAAGGAGATTGTGTGCAAAAGCGACGACACTATGCGGCTTGGAGAGCCATCGTAAGTATGAAGCCAGCGGAAAATCCACCTTCCAAAACATTGCATTACATTAAATTAGAGTTACGCTGCATATTACAAATACTGACTGTCAGGAACATTTGATAGCCAAGAAAAGTAATTGGACCAAACAATAAAAATTATTTGACTTACCAGATATATTTCAGATGAATTAGTATGAATAATGCCGATTTTCCATTGGTTATTTTTCTCTAGATCCACCGAGACGCTGTCATGCGTGATTATCTTCATCATTGTGTATTATTCTCTAATGTCTGGGGTCATTTGGTTTGTTATGCTCACTTATGCCTGGCACACATCGTTTAAAGCCCTGGGAACCACCCATCTACCTCTGTCTGGAAAAACATCCTATTTTCACCTGGTCACATGGTCTATTCCTTTCATACTGACAGTTGCTATACTGGCCATTGCAGAGGTGAGGCTGCTTTTGTCATTTTTTTTGTATTGTTAATATCAGCGTATTCACAGTGGTTTAATTTTGACACTATGAAATATTCCACAGGTGGATGGAGATTCAGTTAGCGGCATTTGCTTTGTTGGCTATAAGAACTACAGATACCGTGCAGGGTTTGTTCTGGCTCCTATCGGGGTGGTCCTTGTCGTTGGTGGCTATTTCCTGATACGAGGTGAGAGAGATATTTTCATTCTGTTGTGTTTAACAGTAGCGCATGGCATAAAGAGATGGTTTTATCCGTGTGGATTTATACAAGACTCTTGTTTTCCAGGGGTTATGACATTGTTTTCCATTAAAAGTAACCATCCGGGGCTGCTCAGTGAAAAAGCTGCTAGTAAAATCAATGAAACCATGCTGAGGCTTGGTAAGTTTTGGATTCCTCTTTAAAATTATGCAAATTATACAGCATGAAAAGCTTTCATTAAGAACAAAATGAAATCCACCCCAAGTACTGAAGTGTTTTAATTTAAAATACAACCCATCTGGCAATAGAAATGTCAGTAATAAAGGTGTACTACAAGTACTTATACTGCAGCTATTGTAATAACATTATGCTATTATGATATATATTCTCCACAAACAATGCAACACAAGTGTGTGTGTGTGTGTATGTGAGTTGAGTGGATAGAGTAAATATTCGTATTAAACATCCACTATATATAATATAGTTTGTTTGTGAATAATATCTTTAGAGATTATTCACTCTTGATGTAAATTCTGTGAATCTTTGACTTGTTCATTCATCTAAGAATGAGCAAATTCCATTTATTTTTCCATTTCTCAGGTATATTTGGATTCTTAGCCTTTGGTTTTGTTTTCATCACATTCGGCTGCCATTTCTATGACTTTTTCAACCAAGCTGAGTGGGAAAAAAGCTTCAGGGAATATGTACTGTGAGTCTTTTTCTTCTATCGTCTAGCTTTTCTAGACAAAGTAGCATTTTATAGACATGGGGAACATGTGAGCTACATTATCTACCATACATTGTGTTATGGTTGTGATACTGTAGAGGGCTACCCATGCTGTCATGTAACAAATCTAGTTTTTAATACAGATGTGAGGCTAATGTCACCATAGCTCACCAGACCAACAAGCCGATCCCAGAGTGTGCCATCAAGAACAGGCCTAGTCTGCTGGTGGAGAAGATCAACCTCTTCTCAATGTTCGGTACAGGCATTGCAATGAGCACATGGGTCTGGACGAAGGCCACCATCCTTATCTGGAAACGCACCTGGTTCAGGTAGGTAACAAACATACAATCAAAATAAGTTTTTGATGAATTAAAATAATGTTATATTTTATGTAGTACATAATACAAATCTATTATTGACATTATTTAACATTTTGTGTGTTGTAATAAATAAAAAATAAGTTGAATATTAAGCATTTTCTCTCAATCTAAGAATCATTGGAAGAAGTGACGATGAGCCGAAACGCATTAAGAAGAGTAAAATGATTGCCAAGGCATTCTCAAAGCGAAAAGAACTGCAGAAGGATCCAGAGAAAGAGCTGTCCTTCAGCATGCACACCGTTTCTCATGAGGGACCTGTGGGTAAGCACCTCCTCCTATATTCTAAAGATAATTTTCTCAACTTTTAGGAGTACACTAACACATAGATGGCCTCAAAGCTAAAAGGTCAATCAGTCACATTTGAAAGTGTTGTTGCTCCCTATATTAGACACAAATAACTAACATTTAATTTATTTAACCCTTTGCACAGCGGGTATCAACTTTGACCTGAATGAGCCGTCAATGGAAATGTCTTCTGCGTGGGCCCAACATGTGACCAAGATGGTGGCTAGAAGAGGGGCAATTTTACCACAGGATATCTCAGTGACGCCCACCGGAACACCTGGTTAGTACTCTAGTTCTTAAATAATTGATAAATATATCATCAATAGTTAACTGTAACTGATGACCAATAGTAGCAGGTTTGTATAATTTAACAACAACAATAGTAATAATGATAAATAATTTACTATAATAATTAAATGCATTTTCCCTACAGTTCCGCCTCCAGAGGAAAGAAACAAACTTTGGATGGTTGAAGCAGAAATTTCTCCTGAAATGATGAAAAGAAAGAAGAAGAAGAAAAAGAGAAGGAAGGAAATACGGCCAACGGGTCCTACAGCGGACGAAGGGAAGACTGCCTACCACCGGAGGGAGTTTGGCCCCTGCTCAGTCCCCCGTCTCCCAAAACTTCCAGGTCACCAGAGTCTGTTGGCTAACCTGTGGGAGCAGCAGCAACAGCGGCAGGAGGAACAGGATATGCTACCTGGAGCCTTCCCTGAATTCAGGCCTTCATGTCCTCTTCCTTACCAGGAGAGATATGGTGGTTTGGGATATTTATGCAATAAACCCTCCAGCCTCCCCCTTGCCAATCCCCTGATGCTAAGAGATAGCATGCAAGATGATTCAGATGGCTTCCAGCAATCATCATGGAAACCTAATGGGGTTTTCCGGCACCTTGGGAAGGAAGCATCCGTGATGGGTGCTGGCAGGACTGCTGTTGTGCCACGGGCCGATGGCAGGAGGGGTGTACCAATACACTCCAGAACAAATCTTATGGAGGCTGAGCTACTGGATGCTGACTCAGATTTTTAAATCTTTGGAGTTGTTGGTGCTCATTTTGCGCTGTGAAAGGTGCTGCATACTCATGCCAAACAATGAACCTGAAGCAGAAGTGGGTTCGAACTGCTGTGCCAGCTCTGCTTGTCTAAAGGATAATACTTTTTTATGCAACTCTCATGATAATGAGAATTATGAACTGGATTTATGAAACATTATTAAAGAGTCATAAAAACATTTGTGCCTTCGACATGGATTTTGTAACATCCCACATGTGATTGTGGTGACAATACATATTGTTCAGTTTGCTAGCTGGGCTAATATGACATCATTTTGATTCCTTTCTATGTTTGGAACAGGTTAGTGTGTAAAGGGGCTTCATTTAGGAATGCCACATAATTTGGATCTTAGCTTAAAGGGGAATTGTGTAATTTCTGCAGCACTGGAGTTACCAAACGGAATCACAAAAGTATGAATATTGACTATTTTCAAACAGGTTTCCCCATCTGCTATTGGTCAGTCAGACATGCCATTGGTTGAGCCAATTATGCTGTGTTGATGTTCAAACAAGCATAGTGTACGAATCAGTGTGCAAATGGCTTATTTAAAGTTGTCCCGACATTAAATTGGGATAGGTAAAAGTATGTTTAACATGGAGTAACACCAGCTTGTAGTGGGCCTATAGTCTGTAATATGATCACTGGTATGAAAAAAATACACAGTCTGTAGTCTGTACTGTATCTGTTGGAAAACCTCACAATTAAACATCCTTGGCCACACCTTTATAGACATAAAGAAAAGTAACTGACAAAAGTGCTATTTTTTCAGAAAAAGAGAATTTATTCAGCTATTATTGTTACTTTTTTGTTTGGAAAAATTGCCTGGTGCAATCACAAACAAGTCCACCTCTCTCATTCAAAGAGTAAGAGAACATAAAGGGCATTGTTTTTGTTTGTTTAAAAATTGTAGCTCAAAATGCCAATGGTTATGTAAGATTCTGTTTCCATTGACAATTATCTCTGTACAGTGCTATTACAAAAACTATTTTTCTACTTTATATTGTTTTTTTCACCTGTTTTATTTTATATTATTTTAAACTGTACATAATTAAGATCACATTTTTGTTTCTTACACCTATTGGAGTGATTTTTGCTTCATACACATTTGGATTTGCTTATCGGTGTGAATTTTGTTTGAAATTTTAAGCTTATTTACAATTTTTATTATTTTTCTTTTTCAACTTGGATCATTGTTAGTATCTGTGGCAATATTAGCAAAAAAGCAGCTGTGCCGCATTTTTCTGACAATTTGAAGCTGTCCTTCAAGAATGTATTTTTAGAAAAAAGTGTTTAATGAAGATGCTTGCGCTCTGTGACTGCGATGATATCTGTTTTTTTCCCATCACTGTTGCTGTTATTCCCTCATAAGAGCTGGTCTGTCCTTATCAATACTATTTTATGTCAGTATTTTAATGTGTGTGTGTGATCTTTGCTGTTTTCCTGCCGGAGTCTCATTCCATTGTATATATTTTTTTATATTGACATGCCATTAATGAATAAAATGTACTGAAACAGAGTAAAACTAAAGGATTCAGATTATAAAATGATTATAAAATGTTGAATGCTTCAAGGTAACTGAGGTGATTATTTTCGGTCCATCAGAAAATATGAAAGCCCTAAATCTTGACCTAGGACCTTTATCGGCTTTTAGGTCTTCACAGGTACGGAATCTGGGTCTTCTTTTAGATGACTCGCTAAAATTCGATAAGCAAATTTCTACTGTGATTGGGTCCAGTTTTCATCAACTCCGTACACTAGCAAAAATTAAACACTTTCTCACTGACAAGACTTTGGAGATGGCGGTTCATGCCTTTATTACATCGCGTCTCGATTATTGTAACTCTTTATACTGTGGCATATCTAAAACTCAAATTGCCCGTCTTCAAGTGGTCCAGAACGCTGCCTCTAGATTCCTTTTAAAAAAGAAAAAAAGGGATCACGTCACTCCGCTCTTGAAGACCCTTCATTGGTTGCCTGTTCAGTTTAGAATACATTTTAAAATCTTATTATTTGTTTTTAAATCTCTGCACAATCAAGCACCCGTTTATTTATCTGAATTGCTGCATCAGTATATCCCCTCGAGAAGTCTAAGATCTTGCGACCAGAACCTTCTTGTAATTCCGCATACCAGACTCAAGCGTAGAGGTGACCGTGCCTTCTCAGTAATTGGGCCTCGTCTTTGGAATGATTTGCCAGTGGAGATCAGAACGGCCCGTAGCCTGTCTATCTTTAAGTCTCTTTTAAAAACCCATTTGTTTTCATTGGCCTATTAGGACTATATTCTTGCCTATTGTATTTCCTATTTGTGTTTTAATTTTTTGGTTGCAGTTTTTGTATTACTAAATTTTATGATGACGTTTCTTACTGTGAAGCGCTTTGGTCAGTCTTGTGGCTGTTTTAAATGTGCTATATAAATAAAGTAAACTTGAAACTTTAACTTATTTTCATTACACACATAAAAAAGGAAATAATGTTTAGTATTACTGATAAAATTAATGTGATAGAGTATATTTTTTGTAGAGAAACACCTCTACCCAAAACTATATGAAAAACTGTATCTTTATGTAGTAGTACATAAAGAAAGATTGGCCCATATATTTTGCTCTCATTGATATTCTTGTACTCAGATTTTCTCCAGATTTGTATGATTTTGTATGAAGCTGAATCACAACAACCTTCGGTCACTTGACAGCTGGCAGTGTTTAAAAAATATATAAACAACACAAAATATATTTAATTGTGTTTGTGTTACTGTTCATTCTCCAACCAGTTAAGTCAGAACAAACTTTTGTGACCTAATACATCGATTATCACTCTATATAAAATATAATAGACTGACCGAGCAAGAGCAATTTTTCCTGCTTGCCAGTATGATATTTGCTTTTATACCACAGTTCAATAAACAAGAAGCTAATGATGAGTGACTTACATTTTAGAGGCAATACTGAAAGTCATTTTGTCTGTTTTGCTCCACCAACGAAGTTTCAAACAAGAGCCAGAGCCATATGCAGCGAAAATAACCACTGAATCGCGGAGAAACACACACAGCACAGCAGTGGCCTTGATTGAATCGTTAAACGAATCAACTGAGTAAATGGTTCAGCAACAGGGTTGCCAGGTTTTCACAACAAAACCCTCCCAATTGCTACTCAAGGTGGGGTGGGGTGGTGTGGGGCCAGGGGAGTAAACTAAACGTTTTTTGGCGGGGTTCCCCTGGTAAAATTCGTATTCCATTGGCTAAATATCACGTTATTGAGGTCGCTTCAACCCGCGGACATGAAAACAAACCCGCGGCAACAGTGTTAAAGTAGCCCAATACCGCGGTACAAACGCGGACTTGGCAACACTGTCAGCGACTCACTCGCATGAACAAGTAAAATTTGTCACCACCTTCTGGCGTGACGTTGTAATCTGTAGTAAACAAAAGACCCTGAAAATCCCTAAACGTTCAACAAAACCTTGGCTTTATCCTATTCTGCATCCATTTCTCGTCTCATCCAAAGTCAAAATTTCGAGAATGAGCAATTACAGAATTATGAGATTTTTATAATAATATCTTTAATCTCAAAATTATTTAACTGCAACAAGTACTCTCGTAATTTTGACTTTATTCTCAATCTATCTTATCTCATATTGCTATGACTATATTCTTGTAATCTTTTATTAATAGTAATAGTAATAGTCGTGGTATACTGTAGGTTCAACTTGACAATATACAAAAATAATTCCAAGGGAAAGAAAGGGAGTGCTAAGAAGCGCGTTCACAGCAGGCGTCGGTGGCGCGCGCAGGCCGTGGCTACAGCTGAGCTGATGGTGGACTGGAGGCGCGCGGCTGTAGCAGGATGGCTCACACCAAACACACGATGTCCACTGATGTGGAGAGTCGGAGGCGACGGTCCACTGAGAGCTCAGGCGAGTATTACAGTCATCTTACAATTAGTCAGAAGCTCAAAGAGACTTTTACTATCCTTGTGCATTCATTAGGACTATTTTAACCTAGTTTCTTTGCTTGTCTGCTTTGTTTGTTTGTTGTGGTTTCAGTGATTCTCCTAATCTATAGAAATGTACTTTTTTTCCATTTCAAACTTTCATATCAATTAGTCGTTTTAGTGACAAATAAGAAAGAACTCTGCTTTTTAGTGGGATTTTGGGAATATGTCACACCTGTAAGGAGAGACTGAGTTCACCTGTTCTACCCACGTCATTGACTAATGATTTTTTTCTAGTGTAAATACAAAGTTAAAACATCAGTGATGATGTGCAAAATCATGTTAAATATTTAAGTATGTGTTTGTTTTTAATTTGTCACAAATTTAAAGGCCATTTCCATACTTGTATCATCTCTGCATTGCTCAGAAAAAAATGATTGTAAGCCTTTATTTTACTTTTTTTTTTTTTGTGGGACCAGCTTTAGTATTGTGATCTTTAACTTCTAAAATGTATATTTAAATATGTATTTAGTTATAGCTTATAGGCACATTTGGCTTCTTATTTTGAAATATGGTAGTAAACATTGTCTGCTGTTTAGTAACTTTTATTGCTTTTATGATTTTTCTGAAATCTCATGCCATGATATCAATTAGCAATGCAATCAGACACAGTTGATTCACTAATGTTATGTGGGAAACTGTTGTTCATGTGACCATCAGGCGTCTTTTGTTAGTTCCAGACTGACTGTTTGGGGACTGAACGAAGTCATCAGATGACCATGAGAAACCTCTAAATCCACTGAGACATTGATTTCTTTCCCTGTATGACCTGTAGAGCCCCTTTGGGACCATGACCCCAAAGGTCGTCGCTGTAGCTCCCAGTGTGACAGACTGTGTGTAGCTGGAGCATATCTTGAGATCCCAGATACTCCTTCCCCCTGCACCTCCCAGTATTGCGGACACTACACCCCAAAATGTCTCTCTGCCCACAGTGAGTGTCTTGCCATAGTCTGTCTACTCAATTCATGAGTGCAAAAACAGTAATTAAATTATAATTTTTTTGTTATATAAAAGTGTCAGGGTTGTTATAGTTGTCTAAAACTGACACTAAAGTTAAAATCATTAAAAAAATCTAAATAAAATAAAAGTTAAATATAAAATTTAAAAAACTTTATTTCAGCTAATTGTCAAGCCAACATTTCTCTTTTTAATTTACAATTAAATTACAAATTATTTATCTCTCTCTCTATTTATATATGAAAAAGAAACAAAAACTACTAAAAATGATAAAAACACAGCAAAATTATCAAAGCTTTAACTGAAATCAAAATGAAAACAGAAAATATAAAAGTCATACTGATTCATAATATTAATAATAATGCATTTTAATTAATATTAATAACTAATAGTATCTAAATTATACTAAAATAACACTGAAAAGGGTTAGGAGTCTATCTGGGAAATTACTGCATTTTTAACATGTTCATAATATAAAGTGAGTCAAATAAGCTTCAAACCATTTCTATGTTTATGGTGTAGAAATTATTAATATTTTAAAATGTTTTTAATAAAAATAAAAACATCTTAAATTATTATATTTTCATTATTATTATTATATATATTTTTTAATTATGTCCCCCAAAATTTTGCTAAATATGCTTATGCTAAATATTTACATGCATTTTATATGCATGAAATACTAGCTATGGAATTGGCCCTAGAAATAACAAACAAGTTAGACATATTATTTAATTGTGCATTTTAGTTTGCATAAAATATTGGCTATGAAATTGGCCCTAAAAAGAACAAGCAATCACCCATTTTATTCCAAAGAATTATTGCAGATTTTTCTCCAAAAATTGATCTTATTTTGTTTTTTGCTTTCTTCGGGGCATTCACGGTGCACAGATGACGTTTGGCAAGAAGCGAGCATCAGAACCACCATCCGAGCAGAAAACGAGTTCGAGGCACATAAACTTGCCAATAACTACAAGGTGTGTAAATATGAGTGCTTTAACAGTCAGAGATTTTTCCAGAGTGAGAAAAAAAACATAATAAGAGTGCAAATCCTTGGAATAACTGGAGGAAATGTTTCAAATGATTTGTTTATGTCTGTATGCCAGTTTGGTTTCAGGAAATGGAAGAGTCATGTAACCGAACGACCCATTGAAGACAGATCTGATGTAGTTAAGGAGCTTTATTCTGAGCTCAACTATATCAAACATCATTCAGGTTAGAAAAATATTAATGAGAAAATTAGATAAATCCCAAAAATTACTAGGGATGCAAACCACATTAAAAATAAATTGATGTCATTGCAATAGATTAAAAATGGTTAAACCAAGTAATATTTATTTTTTAAATAAATATTTTTATTTTTTAAATAAGCACACCTTTCAAGAAAGAACAATTCATAAAAAGACATTTTTGTGACCAGAAGTATTTGTCTGAGAAACGTTTAGCATCATTTGTTTGCAGATGCCATGTGTTTTAATATTCTGCAATCTATGCAATGGCATTCCTTAATTTGTAAGTGTAGTTTGGAGGTATAAAATATAATCTGTCTGTTAACTGTAATGCTTTTACTCTCTTTTGCTCCAAGGATCACTCATCACTGCTGGGAATGTAATATATGTATTGCTCTTTGGCTGGTGGATCTCCATATTTTACTTCTTGGTTAGTCTGCTGATGTTTTGCACCATTGCTGGTATCCCATATGGTATGTCAGGGTTCTTTTGTGATTCATTTTTGTTACTAGTCCATTTCAGTTGCATTTTGCCACTTTATTCCCATTTGAATCTGTTCTCTCATATTCTATGATAGGAAAACTCTGTTTGCAGCTGTCGGGTTATTTCTTATGGCCATTTGGAAAGGCATTACAGAAAGTAAGTGAAAAATATATATATCTGCAGAACTTTCCTCAAAGACATAGGTAGCCAATTCATGTATTTTTTTAAATTCCGTCACACTGTTGATTCGATCTGCAATGCCTAGTTAAATAGGCTTCTCTTATGCCTGTAGCATGGCACATGACATTCATTACAAACTCTGCTGTTTTCCATGTTATAATCAATTTTGGCTTCCAAGAACTCATTTTTCCTGACATTTTTGTGAAATACAACATCACTGATTTCAAATCCGAATGTAAATTCTCTCGTCTGACTGCATGTTTTCAAATGCTTCCTTCAGAGCAGCAGCCTGTTGAGGAAATGTTGTGTGAAATTCCCACATTGTGAGGCCATTCCAGAGGAGGTGGATGAAGTAAAGGAGTCTTCGGAGGTGAAAGAGTCTACACCTTTGCTGCGCTGTGCTCCCACAGAAATCCCTGTGACAACACCGCCTCCAAAACAGACGCGTTACTGGGTGAGACTTGTCAGTTTTGAACAGTTTATCTAGCTGATTGGCCATCATTATACTGTAAATCATTCTTGGGGTTTAGTGCATGGTTGGTAAAGTTGAGAATTGTTAACCAGAAGGTTGCTGGTTTGAAGCCCAAAAGGAGTCAAAATAAAATTTTATTTCATAAATGTGACCCTGGACCACAAAACCAGTCTTAAGTTGCACGGGTATATTTGTAGCAATAGCCAAGAATACATTGTATGGGTAAAAATAATTGATTTTTCTTTTATGCCAAAAATCATTAGGATATTAAGTAAAGATCATGTTCTATAAAGATATTTTGACAATTTCCTACTGTAAATATTAAAACTTAATTTTTGATTAGTAATATGCATTGCTAAGAACTTAATTTGGGCAACTTTAAAGGCGATTTTCTCAATATTTAGATTTTTTTGCACCCTCAGATTCCAGATTTTCAAATAGTTGTATCTCGGCCAAATATTGTCCTATCCTAACAAACCATACATCAGTGGAAAGCTTATTTATTCAGCTTTCAGATGATCTATAAATCTCAATTTCAAAAAATGGACCCTTATGACTGGTTTTGTGGTCCAGGGTCACAAATGGTTACCTTAATGTTTTCTTCCTAGTGTCGGATGAGTACGTATGTTTGGCTGGTGTTGGGATACCCCCTGCTGGCTGTGGTTCATTTCCTGGCCATCTTCCTGTCCTGGATGATGGTTTTCACCATCCCTGTGTCAAAGATGAACGTCAGGACCTTGAGCATCATCCTGCTTATGCCACCAGAGGAGGTCAAAGTTCGGACTGTGAAAAAGGTGAGCACTATAGTATTTGCTGTTTACATTAGTAGATCATCTAACTTTTTTTTAATACTAATGGTTGCCATGTCTTCTACTCTTTAGCCACAAGGTTGTGAGACCAGAGTTCTGCTGTGCTGTTACCGTGCCTTCAACTGGTACTACTACAAATACACTGTGGATGGGATCAATGTGTTTGCTGTCAGTATCCTTCATGCCTATGGCTGTTTATAAACTGCTCTCATGTGAAATGGTACCTTTTTCATTATTTATGACTTATTTATATTTTTATGAGACATACAGTGTGGGAAAAGAAAAATAACAATGATAAAATGGAGGTAATGATGAAAATAATTATGGAAATCTAATAAAATATGAAAAAATAAAATATATAGTATAAATATAAATATATACTCATTAAATAGCAGACTAAAATATTTAATAAAACAAAGATTATTGGAGTACATTTTACAAGAAAATACTACATTTGGGGTTTTTTACTTCAAAAATTGTGCATTTCATTCATTGTGTTAATTGCTATTTCTTTGTACTTGTTTGTGAAATTTGCTAGCAATTTCTGAGTGAAAATGTTTCTACACCATTCTTTTTGGGGTGTATAAATAATACTGAAATGGTACCTTTGTTGATAATACCTTTTGTTAGCTTTATTGTAGAAAAAAAATGTTTTCTCTATGATATGCACCATTTATGTTAAGATCTTTAAAAAAAACTTTATTCAGACCTGTTGCCGCTGGTTATTTTCACTCTGGTGATTGGCTACGTGGACCGAGATAATTATTATGTGAGCTCAGAGGCAAAGTTTGCCATAGCATTGAGCTCCATTATCCCATTGTCTTACTACATTGGGATGGGGATAGCAAGGTAATATTTAAAAATCCTAACTTGTTTGTTCAAGTGGTATGTGTGTATTAGTTTATTTAATAGATTTTATTTATTGAATAATTTTCATTTATTCTTTTTTCTTTGTTCATTTTATTTAATTAACTATTTCTTAAATGTACCTACTTCTGGTTTATATATTTATTATATTACATTACATTATATTACTTTCCCCAGAGTCTTTTCTTCTTCTTCTTCCTCCTAATAATTGGTTAATTTGTTTTTTTACATGCAAAATCTGTGTGAATACCACTGTATTCTCTGTAGTATTTCCGCACAGAGTAACTTTGCAGTGGGAGCGGTAGTAAATGCCACGTTCGGCTCGATTACAGAGATGGCCTTCTACATCACAGCTTTGCTGCAGGGTCATCGCGCAGGAAACAAGTGCTATGCAGAGATCGTCAAATCTGCTCTGACCGGCACGCTGCTGGGCTGCATCCTCTTCATACCTGTGAGAGCGAGTTTCTTTGATACTGCTTCCTCACACTATTCCTCCTCCTCTGATAACTGCCACACGTACAGTACATGTCATACGTTATAAATTCCTCTAACAGCTGCATTCTGTGTGAGTGTGTTTTAGGGCATCTGTATGATCATCGGCGGCTGCAAACACAGTGAGCAGCGGTTCAACAGCAGGTCGGCAGGAGTCAGCTCGGCTCTGCTTTTCATATCAGTAGGAGGTGAGAGAACTAAATATTCACTGTTCTTAAGTAGAAATAATAATTTTTGACCTTTCACCTCTGTCTGACCACAGGTGTTTTCACCCCCACACTGTTTTCAAAGGCTTATGGAAACTTTATATGTGAGGGCTGTAACATCTCGCTTAGTAACACCACAAAGCCCTTCATTTGTAATAACTGCCACTATGACCTGGTACGTTGTTTCCTTAATAAAATTCAAGCCATTTAGACATATAATCCAGAGCACAGTAGTTAAATATATGACCATGATGTCTTTCTACAGAGTGAAAACAACCGACCCCTCTTTTTGAGTCATATCGAGTGAGTATACGAACACACTTGTTTTTACAGCATAACGATTTTTAAATGTCTAAATTCCGTTTTTGTTTTCAGGCCTTTAGTGTACACAATCTCTGTCCTGTTGCCTGCTGCGTATCTTATTGGTCTGATCTTCACGCTTAAGACTCATTCGCATATTTATGATCTCCACATTAGTGATGCCCACTGTCATGGTGCGTCTTTGTGATTTTGCATTTGGATTATGCCATTTTGGTTATGTGATGCTTTTATTTAATGTCTTAATTATTCTGTTTGTGTTAGTTATTAGCGACCATGGTGCAGTGGTTCACTGGTCTAGAGCGAGAGCTCTAGTGGTGCTCATTTTGGCTACGGTGTTGATGGCAGCTTGCGCTGATCTCAGCACTGAGCACATCAAACCTATCATTTCCAATTCCAGTGTCTCACAGGTACATTATTTTATTTAAAATAATTTATTTATTTTACCTATGGAATTAATTTTATTTTATGATTTTCATGTTATTTTGGTTTGATATAAAAAATTGTAATATTACTTAAAGGTTATATTTAAAAGTAATTTATTTTTAAATTAATAAATGTATCAAATTAATAAGTTTTCCCATTTTTATATTTCCTATATGAAATTAAATGTCTCCTGTGTAGTCCCTGTCCCTGCTCTGTATTTAATCTTAGATATTCACATATAAATATATTTTGTTGCAGTATTTTATTGGAGTTACTATATTGGCCATGGTTCCCGAGCTTCCTGAGATAGTCAATGGGATCCAGTTTGCTCTTCAGAACAACATCAGCCTCAGGTTACAATAATTTGGTGTTAAAATAGATGTGCACTTGACTATTTTCACTATGTGATCTGGATGTGGCTCTAATATGGATATTTGCCATCATGTAGCCTGGAAGTGGGGAGCTGTATTGCAGTTCAGGTGTGCATGTTGCAGATACCGCTACTGATCTTTTTCAATGCTTTTTACGTAAGTCACCCTCCCCCCCCCCCGCCCCCCCCCAAAAAAAGGTTGAGTTGGTTTCTGTTACTCAGTTCTGCAGTATGACACAAGTTCTTTCTGTTTCTCTCTAGGATGTTGGATTCGTTCTCATATTCAGTGATTTACACCTCTGGGCAAGCATCTTTAGCGTGATTCTGGTCAACTACATATTTATGGATGGAAAGTCGGACTACTTTCAGGGTGAGCATTATTATTAGTATTATTGATTAAAGGAATAGTTCGTACAATATTAAAATTCTATCATTATTTATGTGCCATCATGTTACTGTACAAAAGCTCTATGTAAGGAACAGCCTTGAAAATCCTGCTTGACAGCCATGATCAGCACTTACTTTCACTGTATGAAAAGAACCGCTTGGATATTCAGCTATAAATAACTTCTTTGTATTCCAATGAGGAATGCAAGTCCTACAGGTTTGAAAAAGGCTGATAACACAATTTTCATTTTTGGGTGAACTATTGAAAAAAATAAACAGTAATATAATTTTTTTGTATAATGTATGAATTAACGTATATCATTTTGTTAATTGTGCATTTCTGTTGTGCTTGATTTGAGACAGTTAATAGTATTGTTAAATGTAATCTGATTTGGTTTAGTTGTAAAGATTAGTACGATTAGTTCAAGTTGTTACATAAAATAGTGAATACTAAATGTTTTTTTTTTTTTGTTGCCTGAACAGGAACCGCTCTGGTGGTCGTGTACCTAATTCTTCTGGCTTTGTACTTTTTTGCACCTGCTCCTCTTGGATGTTAAGAAAAATGACTTTTTCCTTGTCTTTTATTGTTGGCGTGTTTGTATGTGTATTTTTGTCTTATATACTATAAAGTTCTTTATACGGAATATTTTCCAGCATGTGACGTATGAGAGCTCTTTTTGAGAACTTTTGAGCCTTATAGAAGCTGAGAGCAATTTCACCATGTGTTTACTTAAAAATGCATAATATTTTACATTTACACACACACAAAAAGTAAAAGAAACAGATGTAGCAATGAATCACAATGAAATTATAATAAATGTTGTATTCCTTTCATTCACTTTTCTTGAACTTTTGTAAACACTAGAGATTCAACACACCACCAGTTGGAAGAAGTTTATTAATTATTCAACAATAAAACACAAAACTGGTACACAAGTTACAGGTAACTGGTGAGTACCTTGAACATTTGCTGCACAACTGAGGAATCGAAGTCCAGCGAGACCCCTCGTCTCAAAAAAACACAAATGTAGGGACTCCCGTCACTCCATTCAGACTGAGTGAAAAATTTAACTGTGCTGCTGAAATCATTTCTGAAAATAAATGTGTAGTTGTCACAGTCTGCACGTCGCCTGTATGACAAAGCACCCTTAAATCCTGACCCATGCAAACAGGAATCCAGTCATGCAGAAAGAAAATGGCAGAAGGTGGGTGGGTACTGGGTAGGCACATATTATGGGCATGTATGTGACCTAATATCAGGAAGAAAAAGCTACTTTGTCAACATAAATCAAATTTTACTGGGTGTAATAGCAATTATTAATCTTTTAACATTTTACTCAACTATATCAATTGCTGGTGCCTAATGAATGTAGTTAAATGGCCAAGAACTGTAACGGGTTAAATAACCCAACAAGGCAAAACACATCAACTCTGAATTCAAGATGCTGTATTTGGCATTGCGGCCAGAGATGTTTTGAATTCAGAGCTTGATTTTTTTTTGTTTGATCAGCATAGTAAAAGAAGCGCCGCTACATTATTGCTAAATGACAGGAAGGTTATCTGTTTTTCTGTACAGATATACACAAGGCCCAAAATATCATTAGCATTGTGCTGACCAAATGGTTTTAAATTTAGATAGTTTTATTTATTGTAAATGCATCAAGTGCTAGAAAGCTTGATGAAAATGGCAAGTGCGCATCTGTTGTATTATAAATTCAGGTCAGCTTGTTCTAGAATAGAATTTGAGTTAAATAATAATAAAGTGCTTTTAGCAAGGCTTTGTTCAATTTAGCACATTATCACATCTTGCTTAGTAAAGGCACTGTCAATGTGTCAGTTTGAACATTTGGATGAGGGATGATTTAAGGAAAAATTTTATTTCAGTAAAAGCATTAAAAGTAAATTAAGGAGCACCTTATTCACAGTGATGTAACGATTGGTTTACAAAACTGGGTGAAACATGGGAACAGCTCTGCAATGACTGTACAGCTTTGTTGACATTACTTGGTCTGGTGTTTGTGCCTAAATGCAGATGTAACTGCAGATCTGAGCAACAGCATCCAACCTAAAAATCAACATTCTCGGTTAAAACCCATTTTGTTAAAATATTCAACTTTTCAACACTGTTTTGCACCGTTTTCACTGAAGTAAAGCCTTAAATCCCAATCCCAGACATCAAGAGTTCTGCATAAGTCTGTTCAGATATCCAAACAGTTGCCTGGAAACTCAAGCTAATCGAACCCTGATTACATCTCTGCTGATTAAATATTCATGCCGTGGTGTGGTGATTAATAAAACTTAAATAATTCTTTGACAGGAGAGGAAATAGAATTAAGATGCATCATTAAAATCAACTCAACATGTCCCCCAGGTCACTACTGAAGGCCAATAAATAACAATATTACAATCTCAAGAAAGAAAGAAATAAAAAGATACTTTCAGGTCAATGACCCATAGTGTTTGAGAAAAGAACTTTCTCTCTAATGGAGATTTATGTTTTGTATTGATTTTTCAAATCATTAAAAGCAGCACACGCAAAACAAAAAAAGGCATTCTACAGTTTTTGGTTTTAAGGCGGGCTTTGTTAGGATGGAGTTCCTTAGTTGATCCTGTTTTTCAAGTCCACACACTGGCTTCAAGTGCTGTCGTCCTGCTCATGATCAGCTTCAAAAAAATCAAAAATTAAATTAAAAAAAAAAAAGGTACACGCACAGTACGTACTCAATCTGTCTCTCGCGCTCACAGCCCCCTCGCCTCTTTATTTCAAGCGTTCAATGAGTTCCTGGGTGAGGCCCAAGTTTAGCAGCTGTATTGGGGTAAGTTGGGCCAGGTGTGGGAAGGCTTTGAGCAGACGCTCCCAGCACAGCTCCAGCAGACTGGGCACTACCAGCCAGATCTTAAACAAGGAACCAGTCCGCTTATTCTCATGGATGTTCACCACGCCACCATGGATGTACATGCAGCCGGCCTGAAAGAGAAAAAAAAAGACATTTAGAACGATTTTAGATTTTTACCAGTGTAAAAGATACTTTTGGAAAATTGTTAACAGCAGAATAAATATTTATAAAGTAAACAATATAAATAAATAATTAAAAATATTAAAATGAATGAATGAAAAAAATAAAAACTAAGTATGAACTGACCGGGGTAACAGCAGCACAGTGGAAGTACGCAGGTTCAGGCATCACTGCAGGTAGTTTATTCCACTGAAACGTCTGCAGGTTGATTTTCCACAGGTCGTCTAATATTACTTCACCATTGTAACCTCCACATATAAATACAGCTGCCACAAAGAACAACAGCAATCACACACACTGAGCCCTACAACGGATCTTAAATTCAACATTTACATTATTAACGCCTTACCATTTTTAATCTGCACACAACTATGACATCTCCGAGGGGCTGGGTATCCTGAAAAAAAAGCACTGATTAAGCATGTACTTTTACAGCATGCTTTCCATTGTCAGATGTTAAATTGCTTAAGACAAGAATTGCATTACTAACCTATTCTTTCATGAGGCTTAGTTGTGATTTCCTCCCAGGAATTTGTTTCAAGGTTATATGCGTGTATCTGATACAAACATTTGGGACAATTGTCATTATAATTTCTGAAAAAATCATTAATTAATCCATTTAATATATAAATTGTCTAACCAGCCTGCAGATAACAATTTAAGTATGAATTACATGAATGTTTTCATGTTTCTTGAGCAAGGCTCATTAGTTCCAGTAAACAAATGATGTCATGTAACACAGTGAACACTGCCAAAAATGGCAATTCATGGAAACATTTGTACCTTGTCTAATGGGTAAGAAGTCCAGGAAGTTCCCCCTCCTAGAATATATATCCTCTGTCCATCATGGGCTATCTCATGCCTATATCTATACAAAACAAATTTCGAAGGAAGTTTGGCATAGCTGTTCATAGACTGACATTTTAGCATCAGACAAAAAGCGGTGGCATGCATAAATGTGTTCAGTGACCCTAGCATTGTTTAAAATAAAATTTAAGGTCAAAAGTCACTTACCGCTCCTCAGGCAGGTCGTCTGGAGGGTTGTTGGGTTTCAGATGAATCCACTCACGTGTTGTCAGATCCAGTCTGTGAAGATCTGTGCTGTAGATGTAGCCTGTCGTACCTCCAAATACATATAGGAAGCCGTTGATTATGGCCATCGCCTTCAAAACAAAATAGGGATCACTCAATCAATCAATGTAAGTTAGTATGTTTACTAGTAAACATCGGGACTTATTAAGGCTTTCGTACCTGTCCATATATTCGATTGGGTTTCTTGCCCCTGCAGTTGAGGAGGGACCAGCGTTTGTAGTTAACGTTGCAGACGTGAACATCATTTCCGTTGTTTTCCCCAAACGGGATTCCGGTCCCGCCAAACACAAGCAGGTTGTTTCCGTGCAAAACAGCTGTGTGATGTACAAAGAAGATGGTCAAGTGAGGTAAGAGGTTTAAAATACCTGACTTACCGGTAACAGACGTGTGGCCTTTCGGCACATCCTCAAAACACAACAAAACCACACAATTCTAAGACACATTTATATGCAAACACCATGTAAAAGTGAATTTTGCATTCGATGTCCCCTTTAAATTACACTCAATGAAGTTTTTATAATAATAAAGTTACAATACTAACTTTACAATCACATAAATATAAACATTTAAATGGTGGCTGTCATAAAAACTTGACGGATTTATTCATAAATAACTGAGGCGCTACAGCGATCTGTCACTCCACATTAAACAGCACCAAAACGGTATTTATTGTTTGAATATTGTAATAAAATGGCCAGAATTTGAAATCCGAGACTTAGCTTATTGTGATTTATTGGATGGGAGGCGCACAATGTTCCATTCATGAACTGAAAACAGGCTAGACTAATCGATTCTTGGGATTTAAGAATCAATATAATTTCGTAAAAATTAAAATCGAGAAATCTATATATCTATAGATCGATCGATAGATAGATAGGTAGATAAAAACATTTTACCTGACATTGAAGCCAGTTCAGTAGGCATGAAACCCTCAGTGCGGATCTGTTGCCATGTTCCTGTGGCGAAGTGGAACCTCCACAGCTCCCTGAACAGCGGGTAGTCTTCATTCTCTGAGCCACCTGATTCATCGTAGTCAGGGTTATACCCTCCAAACACATAGAGGTTGGTGTTGTCCGCCACACAGCGATGGCCGCTCCGGGCTGGAGGGGCTCTGTGACCTACACAGACAGATAGCAGCCTATTGATGACGAGACCACAAAGATAAACAACTAAATTTGCTAAATTCAAAGGGAAGCAGTTGGAAAACCAAAAATGTACCTACATTTCAGACATAAATGACAGTAGATCAACACTAATTTTTAATTAGATTAGCAATATTATGAATAAAGTGAGCAAATCCAACCACACCCATCCTACTTGAAATGCATACTTCAGGCTGCAAATTAAAACGGAGTAAGCTTCATAATCTCCAACCCGATTTATTCATATTTAATGCAGCAGAATTTTATAACAGGATACAGATATGGACAGATATGGAAGTGACTCGATTCAGGAATCAGGATTAGACTTAGATGAACTTCCTTCTCTTAGACGAAGCTTGAGAATGTGCTCTTGTGTATCACACATTTGTTCAGTATCAGATAAATACACAAGAGTATACATAGGGGTTACAGTGACACAACAGTAACCCCAAATTAATTAACGACAACTAGTTGAAATCCTCATAAGCCCTCATTTTTTGCCAAGGTCTAGTTAATTAAATGTTCATGTCAAAGAAGCTATGGCCACTCTCCCCCAAACACAACGCACAGAAACACAAACAGGAGTTCAGCTGAAACAACTCCATTTCTAAATATATGCTTTTATTTATTAATATAGTAATAATAATAATAATATCTGTTGTTATTATAACAATAAAAAATATATTATTTATATTTATTTTCATATTTTAATTTTATTTATGAAGAGTTTGGATCCAAAACGCTATAAATCTATTTTGATTAATTTGAGTAATAATGTGTTTTCTTTACCAAGAAAGTGGCAAGATGAAAACCACTATTTTCTGTTTCAAACTTTCACATAGCATCTTTAGGTTATATAATAACATTAAAAATTAAAATCCAGATTTTGATTTTCAAAGATTTATTATAAAACTATTATTTTTTCCCCAAAATGCAATAAATCCATGACACTTTTCTTTTTCTTCAAAATGCAATAAATCCATTGAATCAATATAAAAGTTATTTTTCATATTGAAACTGTTGAAAATACACAACATAGTAAGTTGATCCACATATGACAGCCTCTGAACTTGGTCAATACTAATCTTATGTGCAGGCACTTGACTAAAAATACAGTCAATCAGTCATCGCTCCCAAAAGAATTTAACGGGTCATCTTGTTAATGCTATAAATTAATTACAACAATAAAAGAAAATTTCATCATGAACATACATGAACAACAATATCACATTAAACCACAGATATTCCAAAATGACATTTCCCTTACATTCAACTTCCAAAAGTGCATTCATCTTTGCCATGTTACATTCATTTAGTTGACTAGTGCTATACGCTGTATTGACAAAAACATTAATGGCATAAATAAAAACACTTACACTGACAAGCTATGCAATATCGCGTTCATAATCGAATGCAACTCATCTGCGATTATGAACGCGATATAGCAGTGATCTACAGCTCTGTGTTTTAAATGCTGCTCCATCTGAAAGCACGTGATGGAGATTTACTGTTCACAGAACCGGCTTTACTGACGAAATGTGCATGACAATCACATGCGATTTATCGTGCAGCCCTAATTTTTTTGTTTGTTTGTTGATCACAAAGTACGGATATATCGCATTATGCAGAGAAGGGAGACTGGCGTTTGTCACGGTTTGGAAAAAAAGGGAGAAAAAATGACAGAATAACTCGGCGGATATCGCATTTTGCGTAAAATTAAAAATTGACTTTTCAATACCGAACAGATACAATACTGATTTTGGTGGAAACTCAATCTTTTAAAAAATGGCTTAAAAAAATTACAAAATTCTATGATTGTTATTATAACAAAACTTTAATAATATTTTAATTATTTATATTATTACTACAATCAATAATATTTGTTGTAATAATAAACAAATATATACATACAAAATATAAATACATAAATATATTGTTACTATTATTAAATATTATTAAAATGAAAACACAATACATTTTTAAATATATGAATAAAATTTAGAGAGCGAGAGAGCGAGAGAGAGAGAGAGAGAGAGAGAGAAATATTTCGAACTGAGGAATAAAATATTATAATTAACCAAAAGGGCAAAAGGTATTGTAACATTTGCATACACCTTTTTTTTGTCCCAGTGTACAAGACTTTGATAAGGTGACACCCAGCTTGGTTGATTCATCTTTTGAATCTCTGAAAAGAACTGATCTGCACAGTCCAAAGGTCAACTATGATCACGGCACGTGCAAGCTAGCAACCACACCCTGGCAAATTTCTTGGCAGTGAATTTGCCTTGAAACCCGGATGCTGCACCTGAGTGGGATGAGCTAATAAGGATGGGAGGGAACTGAAAAACTGACACGAATCAATAAAAATAAAAAGGTCCAATACACATCCCTTGTTGACCTTTGACCTTTCACCCAAGCCATCCTGCCCCAGCTTTGCCCCCAATGAAAACGAAGCAGAAAGAGCCCTGGCAAAAGAGCAGTGGTCTTTTTTTTTTTACCACCACAGTGATTAAGAGCAGTTTTGAAGAGAGGTAGGGTGGGGACAGCATGGGGGAGGCCTCCAAATTTGTCATGTGGGTTTTCTTTTTTGAAGTTCAGTTAAAGGCGGACATCGCCTATTACCCACCTTCTCTTAAAAACCTGTTAGGGATCCGTAGAATGGGGCAGGGCTGGCCAAGGAGTCTTCGAGCTTGTACCCAGGAAACTCTCTTCTTAGAGCCTGTTACCACAATTACCGCAGTCAGACAGACAAAAAAAACAACAACAAAAGGACAAATGGCAAAATAAAGGAAAACATAAACAGACAAACACCGTACCCAACACTCAAGGGGTAAACAAATGGGTTGACAAATGAAAATAAAGAAAGACTAATGTACAATAAAGTGAGTTGGTATGTCACATCCTATAGGGGAAAAAACTCCTAACTGCCACACGTCCCACAGTTTAATTAATCTGTGCAATAACCAAAAAAAACATTAAAGGCTCTTGCACACCGAGTCCGAAATTTTCGCACGTTAAAAATATAAATACGACCTCACGTTGTGTCAATCACATTTACACACTGCCTCCGAAACCTTCGTCCGTCATAAAAAAAATCGGATCAGGTTCGATTTTCTGCGATTTTTTTGCATTCGTAGCAAGCATTTTGAGAGGTGTTTTGACCATTCAGAGCCACCGTACAAGCGAACACCAAAATCCAGAATGGTGTCTGACAAGTTGATCCACTTCTTCTCGCTGCACAAAGCACTGTATAGGTCCTTGCACACAGAGTTCACGGAAATTGGGTGGTCTTCTTTTTAATATGTGGCTCCAGTATCGCTAGCAAAGCTTCAAACTGAGCCACTGACATCCTGAAGTCAGCTTTGAATCGCCCGGGATAATCCCGCAGCTAGGGCTGGGCGATATAGCTAAAAAATTTATCAACGATATAATGTTTCATATCATTCGGTATCGATAATTATTTACATTTTTATAACCTTTTTTAAAACAAAGAGCAATAGAATTTTTTTTTTAATTTAACCACTGTATTTTTAAATTAACACAATTTATTGAGACAAACAACAAATATTTTTT